GGAAACGTCAATTTGGATATTGCATGTAGCGAGCCGCATAGACGTGGTAAGGAATCGTCGCTTAAAGAAGAACACTTCTCATTTTTTATAAACTTCATTTTTGAAAAATGAAGAAGCCTACTGGGGATATCACTTAAAAAAAAACGCGTCAACAATAGTACCTCATGGGTGACGTGGAAAACTATTGGAAACACGCTCCTGAGGTTCGAGCGGCTTGTAAGCAGCGCGCGGAGCGGCGAGGTAAAGGGAATAGCGGTGGGCGGAGATAGTCGAAAATCGGCCGTCGCGTGCATATTTTGCCGAGCTCTGCTCTAGACAAAAGTGATCAGTGAGCGCTTAGTGATTATTGTCTGTGACTGGAGCATTCTTTTAGATTCTTTATAGACCCAGAAGTATTTACCAATCAGGAGCGAGAATTACTAAGCGCTCACAGATCATTTTGTTCTTCTGAACGGCAGCCAATGCCGCCAGTGATAAGTTGCGGCTTGAACTTTTCATAGTTGGCATCCACTCTTCTAATAACATCACAAACATTGTCTTCTCATAACACCAGAGCATTTTTTATTTTGGAAAAATTTCTTAACAGCAAAAAAAGATATAGGCAAGAGCACAGGCTTTTGCATAACGCATAATACATAACGCATAAGAGAATAAACCAATTAGTTTTCTTCAATTCCCTCCTCAGGATAGAAATGAAGAACTCTGATTGGTTGATTCTCTTATGCGTTGTGTATTATGCGTTATGCAGACCTTAAAATAAGAAATCTCTCCAACAAAACTGGCTAATGGAATATCCAGTTCTGGGACAATTGTGAAGAAGAAGAAGAAGACATCGCCTTATGACTGGCCAAAAGAGTTAATTCTCTAGGTCATAATTTAGAAGAAGAAAAAGAGAACCACATCAAAGCTTGGATGTGATTCTCGTAACTACATATATTTTTGATCGTGGAACTGTATACACGTTGTCCCTGTTTTTCTTTTTACTTTTTGTAATCGTTGACTGACGTAGGAACTAGAGTATAAGATCTACAATAAGAAGTTAGCCCGTCTACATTACATGGAGTAGCCTAAATTAAGAAGTAAGAGCAACGTAAGAAACTAGAGTAAGGCTGGTCTACAATAGATGTTGTAAGCTGTAAGCCGTAAGAACTGACCAATTATAGCTGATTATTTTTGTAATAATTGACTGTGATTCGCCAATTCTTACGGCTTACAACTTACGACACGTATTGTAGATCAGGCCTAAACCTAATATTACATGTGTCGTACGACAAGCTTTTCGGATACATTGATTGGCGTACGCGAAGCAATCCTAGAAATATTCTATTTGTTAACCAATCAACGTATTCGAAAAGATTGTCGTACGACAAATGTAATATTAGCCTAAAGGAGTAAGTGAAATAAATTATTTCCATTTCGTCTAAAGGTCATTCTACAATACGTGTCGTAAGTTGTAAGCCGTAAGAACTGACCAATTATAGCCGATTTTTCTTGTAATAATCGACTGTGATTCGTCAATTCTTACGGCTTACAACTTACGACACGTATTGTAGAATGACCTTTACTTCTTAAGGCTCGTCTACATTAGTTGTAAGAGTAAGGCTGTAAGGCTGTAACGTAAGCTGTCAGCGAATGAAAATATTTCATTTCGTGTTTTACAACTTTACAGCCTTACTCTTAAGGCTCGTCTACAATAGCTGTAAGAGTAAGTCTGTAAGGCTGTAACGTAAGCTGTCAGCGAATGAAAATATTTCATTTCGTGTCTTGCAACCTTACAGCCTTACTCTTACAGCTAATGTAGACGAGCCTTTACAGCTAATGTAGACGAACCTTTATTCCTTATTCTTTCCTTATTCCTTATTTTCTTACGCTCGGCGTAAGGCTCCAATTAGAGCACAAGAGGGAAATTGTGTGCGAGATTTGAGTTTGCGGGAACGTGAACTACACTGATGCAATATGAAAATATAGATTACATTAATAAAATATTTTTAGTATTAATAAAATAAAGAATTTAGTATAATGATGAATTATGAAAACGAGATGTTGGATAGTGCTTTTGACGATGATAATTATGGTAATGCATCAGAAGCTCAAATCCTAGTATGGAAGACGTTAATTAATTTAGTGCAACTAAATTTAATTTTGTACCAGAAGAAACACAAAGGATACAATAACAAAAGCATGAAGATGCAAATATGGAACAATATTGGTGCATCCTTGACACCGCCAATGACTGGTAAGTGAATAACGTGAAAAAGTGAGGTTAGATATTTTGGATAAGGTTTCATTTTCAATACTATGTACTGTGTATTTGCAGGAATTGATGCAGAAAAAACATTTTATCGTTTACGTCAAAAATTCGAAAAAGAGTGCAGGAAAGTCAATACAGTCGCAGGCAAGATCTGGCGCAGGTGCAGATCATGTGCCATATACATCTAATTGGACTAATTGGACATTATACAAAGATCTAATGTTTCTGACTGATCATATTCAACCTAGACAGTAATTAAATCATTATATAAATGATAACTATAACATTTATTCTTGCATTTTGCATTGGTTTTACAATAAATTTGAAAGATCTATTTTACATAAATTTTATGTTTAAGATGAATTATATTTCTGCAGAACATCATCAAATTTCCAACCTATTCTAAAGCGCAAGAAAGCTATGGCTTCGCAACTGTCGCATTTTAGCAGCTCACAGCATTCCAGTTTACAATGTGCCACACTAACATCTGCAACATATCCATCTATATGTACACCGCCAATAATTCTGAAGAAAACACAGATGTAATATGGAATACTGACTTGTGCAAATCTTTAGGTATAAAAATAATTAAATAATTGTAAAACATTGCACATAATTAACTTTTTTATTAATTATAATGACTTTTATTAATTATAATGAGCCTTTGATATTTCGTTATTATAGAATATCGATCATTATACTAATAATTTTAATTGTTGCAGATTCAGAATCTTGCTGAAAATGAGAAAGCATCTGTCGCGGATTTCATGGAGTCGTCTTCTTCAGTGTCACTTTCTAACTCATCAATTTCACAAGGCATTGCATCCACAAGCATGCAAAAAGCCGTAGTTTCTGCTATCACACCTCAAAGACTGACACCACCAGCAGATAGTACTAAAAGAGAAAGCGACAGACAAGTGATGAAGTGGATGCAGCAATGCTAGAATTATCCAAAAGCATCTCCTCCTTGGTCAACTCACTAGCAATTGCACTGAAAAAAATATAACGTCAACAGCATTACAATCGGCAAAATCAGAATTATCTACTGCAGTGGAAAACATGACGAGTGGTATAACTTAGGATTGAACAAAGTTCATGAAGAACATCAAATGGATTGTTTTATATCGATCCTTGTTTGCATTAATGACTTTATAAAGAGATGAAACTTTTATGAATTTTTTAATATGCATAAGATGTCTTGACTATTTTTCTTTCCATAAATGACTTAATTGCTTTTGTTTCAAAAGATTTATAAAAAAATATGTTAACTTCTTGTTTGTTTTCGAATTTATTTAAATTTATTTACTATAAAATGTTATTATTTTACTTTCAGAACATATTTTGACCAAATAAAATTTTCTTAGATTACATTTTTATTAGAAATATTAAAAAATGTTATTAATATAGAAATATTAAGAATTATATAATGTTAAACAAAATAAATTATAATGAATAAATTATAATGAATAAATTATAATGAACAAATTATTTTCTTTTCTCATTTATATCTCTGCTATAAATTTTAATTTTTCATAAAAATGTTATAAATATCAATTTTAATAAATAAAAGCATTTAAATAAAACATACAATTCTATATTTAACATATTTTTACATGGATGTATGGTTTAAATGAATTTTTTACCATCACTCAATGAACCTATAAAAAGAAACATGACATGCATTTCTACATGCAATATAACTATATATTTAGATTATGAGATATACTGCTATGATTACTGTACTGCCCAATATCCACCCATATAAATTTATATTCTCCATCGCAAGCAGCCATAAGTACTATGCTAAAAAATCCTTTATAATTGTAAAATTGGGATCCTGACATAGGAGGGGCTTTAATACGTATGTTTCCTATCAATGGCACCGACGCAATTAGGGAACTGCCATTTATCCATGAATCCCTGTGCCACTCTATTCCACGAATTTTTATCCATAGTTGGAAAAAAAATTGGTTGTAATGCTTCTCAAATTGCTTGGCAGATTTCAAAGATTATCGTGTACACTGTTGATCTCCCTATGCGAAACTCAGTATATTTATTTAAAATAGTGTCTCCTAGAGCCAGATATCTGCAGGAACAACATAATGATGTTACGCACGCACGCACGCACGCACGCACCGCACGCACGCACGCACGCACGCACGCACGCACGCACGCACGCACGCACGCACGCACGCACGCACGCACGCCACGCACGCACGCACGCACGCACGCACGCACGCACGCACCACGCACGCACGCACGCACGCACGCACGCACGCACGCACGCACGCACGCACGCACGCACGCACGCACGCACGCACGCACCGCACGCACGCACGCACGCACGCACGCACGCACGCACGCACGCCACGCACGCACGCACGCACGCACGCAACGCACGCACGCACGCACGCACGCACGCACCGCACGCACGCACGCACGCACGCACGCACGCACGCACGCACGCACGCACGCACGCACACTCACACACTCACACACACAATAAAATTATTTCAGATTCTACTTACAAGAGTGTCATCTGTAAACGCAGTTTAGGACACAATGGAGTCCTCCTGCTTCGCTTTAGTAATTTATCTTGCATCAGATTAAGTAGCCAATTAAAATGCTTTAGCCACATGTGAAAATTTTGAAAAAATACATCATGGTCTTGCCTCTCCATTTCTCTTACAAGATTTGTCTGATAACCTTATTGAACTTTAAGTTGATTTATGGGACGAATCCACCATCTCCTTCTTTTACGATGTTCTCGTCTTTCTTTTCGTCGTTTCCATTCTAATATTAATTGATAGTGCCATATAATGACGGAAATACTTGCTAAAATTAATTCATTAAACTCCATTTGGCAAATAACCTCTCTATTCACTGAGGTTTATTAGTTCGATAGAGGTATCGATGTTACAAAAGCACAATCCAGCACATCGTCTTCGTAATTTTTCGTATTATTTAGCTAAATTCTTTGTTTATTATCAATACTAAAAATTATTTTATGAATATATACTTTATAAACTAAATCAGCCCTGTCTACCCCGCGGCTCGCGAGCCGTTTGAGGCTCTTTCCCCCACCCCGGAGCTCAAACGTGGCTCCTTCCACTCTTCCAGTCGATTTTATTATTAAATATATAAGGGGATTCAATTAGTTGTGCTCTTAGTCAAGTAAGGATAATAAATGTGTTAATAATATAATTAATTATATTATAATATAATAATTAATTATTAATAATATAATTATATAATTAATAATTATATTATAATAATATTAATATATTAATATAATAATATAATTAATGTAATCATTTGCATAACTTGTGCTATAATAGCGAGAAATATTAAAATATTTAATAGAGGAAATTACAGTGTCACATATTAAACATTGCGGTTTATTTTTCGCATTTAAGAAAAAAAATAAATTTCCCATCTCTGTTGAAATTGCTTATTAGACGTGTCAAACTTTCTTTTCGACATAATGTTAGTAATGTTAATATAATATGAATATGTTAATGTAACAATAGAAAATAATATAAGACTATAATAATGGAATAATATAGTTAGAGTAATTAAAGTTAATATAATAATAGTAATAATAAGGATATGAATATTATTAGCATATAATAATAAGGGAAATTTCTCAAAAGCGATATTCCTCTCATTCACGATGCTCCTAAAGGAACTAATGATAAGGACAAGAGTCAGAGAAAACCCACAAATGACTCGTGAGACGCGGCGCGGCCTGCAGTCGACTGGAAGAGTGGGAGGAGCCATGTTTGAGCTCCATGGTGGGGGAAAGAGCTTCGAGCGGCTCGCGAGCCGCGGGTTAAACCAGCGGCAAACGGTGCTTGTTTTCGTGCTAGATTGCTTGCTGGATGAAAATACTGCGTTCTGATTGGTATATTTTCGAAAATGGATGGAAATGCACCAATCAGAATGCAATATTTTCATCCAGCAAGCAATCCAGTACGAAAACAAGCACCGTGTGCCGCTGGCTTTAGACAGGGCTGAACTAAATGAACGTTCACACTCCCGCAAAATTAACCGACCCTCGCACACTCGAGAGGACCTCGATTGCCTACACGATTGGATACAACCAACCGGTGCAAAGCTTTATCTGGTGAATTTTAGATCCAACCAATCATTACTCTGTGTCCTGTGTACGGTCGCGAGCATAAAGGTTTGTGACCGTTTTTTTGCAACTTTCGGAACGCATCCCGACTCGAGAAGAATGAGAGTCACGATCCGCCTGTGGAGCACGCCTGCGCAGTGACTCACGACGAAAAGCGAGAAATGAAATATACGTGGTGGGACATATTATAATAATACAGACTTAGATGAAATGAATACTCCAGTATTAAATGGAAATGAGGGAACACAGAACAGACAAGAATCATCCGATGTAAGTCTTATACTCCGAAGGACATCTGAAAAAGGTAAAATATGAACTTAATTAAGAGAATTACGCTGCATTATGATAGTTACGATTCTGTTTTATATTTAATTTATATATAATTTAATTACATTTATATATAATTTATTATTCCAGCAACAGCCACCTTCTATAGCAGAAGCAATGATATTAGCTACAGAAGCAGCTGTTATAGCGAATTTTGAATTTTTGGGACATACAGACATGGACATGGAAGAGGAAGAAGGAGATGGAGACGCTGAAATTTATGATGCAAATACAGATACCAAACCAAATAAAGTAACGCTTACTATCATCTTGCGTTTTAATGATATTGTTCACGCTATTTGTTAACATAATTTCTTATTTTTCAGGCATCTATCTCCCTTCTAGCGGAAGGTGTTGATACAGATGCAGAGGCAGAAGTATTAAATGAATTAAATCTCCTCACAGAAATTGAAGAATCGCCTGGTTCTATCCATCTGGAAATGAATTCTTCAAAGGAGTTAGTAAATCCCTTTTTATTCGTATACTTTAAGATAAAATATAAATCTATCACGATAATAGATATTTTGTAATATTGTCACATATAATCACATAATCTAATGATGCCTGTAGGTTTATTACATAGAGGATTACAACAAGATCTAAGACGCCCAAATAATAAAGAAGGCAGTGACTCCACGCTGGAATTCGGAAAATTACAATCGCGTCCTCGTTGCGCGTGGAAAGTTGCGAACCTATCCGGAATCTTGATAGATAGGTTTCTTAATCTATTATACCAGTCAACTTTAACTATTTTTATTTCGTTTCGCAGTGAAGAGCGATAATTTTCGCAGAGGAAAAAGTTGCTCCTTATCAAAAAACGCGTTGACTGAGTTTATTTTTATCGAATTCTAAGGCGGAGCCCCTAAACTGGATAATTACCTTTCAGAACAATTTGAAGCATTAGGTAAGAAGAGAAACATTTGAACTATAGCAGCCAAATAATACTTTGATTATGATAGCTTGTTCAATACCTTGAATTATATCAAATTTTGCTTTAGGTTCCAGTATTGGTGTAAAATGTGCAGTATTAGTAGGTGGAATGGACATGAGCGCGCAAGCGCTGCTACTTAGTAAAAAACCTCATATTATTATTACCACACCTGGAAGATTGGTCGACTATTTAGAAAACACCAAAGGCTTTAGTTTGCAAAACTTAAAATTTCTGGTGATCAAACAAGATTCAGTAAATTTATCTCCATATTTATTGAATTGACTCTAATTTCATTTGTTTTATACTTTACAGGTTATGGGTGAGGCGGATCGTATTTTAAATATGGATTTTGAGATAGAAGTTGATAAAATTCTCAGAGTAATACCCCGAGAAAGGAGAACGTTATTATTTTCTGCAACCATGACTAAGAAAGTACAAAAGTTACAACGTGCATCTTTACGGAACCCTGTAAAAGTTGAAGTATCCACTAAGTATCAAACTGTAGAAAAACTACAACAATATTATATATTCATTCCAGTAAAATTCAAGGTATACTAAATATTATAAAAATTATTAGTTGCACGCGCATGTACACACACGCGCGCGCATGTATACACGTGTATGAGTGCATGCGTGTATGTGTGTATGTAAAATCAAATCACTGTATAAATAATTTTTACATAATTATTGATCCTATGAGAATAATCTTACACGCATAAAATGAATTACGGTAGGACGTGTATCTGGTGCATATCTTGAATGAGCTCGCTGGCAACAGTTTTATAATATTCTGTGCAACGTGCAATAATACTGTAAGAACTGCTTTATTATTACGAAACTTGGGCTTCACGGCGGTTCCGTTGCATGGACAAATGTCGCAGAATAAGAGAATCGCTGCACTTACCAAATTCAAAGCAAGGAATAGATCTATACTAATTTCAACGGATGTTGCTAGCAGGTGAATCCATGACCTGTAGAGTCAGCTTAATGTTTCTACATTGTATAAAACAGAAATGTGACGAAACACTTTTATATTTATAGAAGTCTCGATATACCACATGTGGACATTGTTATCAATTTTGATATCCCGACGCATAGCAAAGATTATATACATAGAGTAGGTCGAACTGCGCGTGCAGGTCGATCGGGTCGATCTATCACATTTGTCACACAATACGATGTGGAACTGTATCAACGAATAGAACAACTTATATCGAAGCAACTACCACTGTGGCCTACGGAAGAGGGGGAAGTAATGCTGCTACAAGAAAGAGTTACCGAGGCGCAACGAATAGTAAAAATGGTAATTAGGTTTATGCAAAATATTTGAAGAATTGATACGTTTACGCGCGCGTGTATGTACATCATCCGTAAATATTGCAACTCTCTAGGAGGTGAAAGACATCGAAGAAAACAAAAAGTTGGGTAAACGGAAAAAACGTGCTGGCGACAACGAAGATGACACAGAACAATCCATTGGAGTAAGAAAACGAATCAAAGGAAATGGCAAGAAGATGGGAAAAAGAAGATAATGTTAAGTATTGCACGCAGTGCAATATTGAGACTGATAGCTTTTTTCTTAAATTACGAGCGGTTAAAAGTAAATTACACACACACACACACACACACATACATACGTGTGTGTGTGTGTGTGTGTGTATAATTTATTTTTAGTCGCTCATAATTTAAGAAAAAAAGTTATAATAATTAAAATGATTTTACGGACTGGTAAATATTTCTAAATCTTTACCATAATCCTTTATAATTGAAATACAAATGGTTCGGTATAAAAATTTGTTAAAACATTGATGATTTCCTATGTTTGGTGCTTAAATATTTTTATATCCAAATATTCAAACGCTAGTAACTTTTTGGCTAACATCATACTCTAAAAACAAATATTTAAAATAATTGTACGGATTTACAGCCTTTGTAAACATACTATAATTCTCGATAAACCATTTGATATACAATTTTTTTTAAGAATTGTCAAGTTGCAGCTAATATTGTAAAAAAAAGATAATTAAAATTGCATGGGAGCTCATAAACTTTCTTAAACGCATTGCAGTTCTTTATAAATGAAATACAAACGATTATGTAATGTAATTTCTTGAAAATCAGTAATTCGCTGACTAGTTTTGTGCGAATCTTGCCGCACAGCAAAAATTGTCTTGAGAATAATGCAGTAGCATATTAACGTCTCGTTTCACTAGTGATAATAAATACATAACGCGCAGGAAATGAGCCGTTCATTGGTTACCGTGGTATTCACTAGCAAACTCTGTCGTTGCGCGACAAAATTTGAAATTAGGCGGTGAATTATTAATTTTTGACAAATTACATCATGCAATAGTTTCCATTTTGTCTATAGAGGATTGCAATGGGTTTAGAAATATTTCTGACTTGCTGTGTTCTATGCGCGAGAGCTATAAAGGATTACTATTTCTTGTGAATCAGAACCAATTGAAACTAATCAGATTTTGTTGTATTTTGAACAATTTTATTTCTAATACATAAAATTTTAAATGACCACCAATTTATTTCTTCTGCGCCGCGGCGGCTTCGTCCTCGCGCTGATACGACTGCAGAAGCTCTTGCTTCTTCGAAGCGATGCGTTCTGCGCGTCGTTTGCGCGCCTCTCTGACTTTCGTTCGGCGGGCCTCTGCTTGATCCGACAGCATTTCCGCACGCGCCTTTTCTGCCTTTTTTTTATGTATGAACTCCATGAGTACTCGCTTATTCTTGAAGACATTACCCTTGGCCTTCATGTATAACGAATGATACAAATGACGATCTATTTTCTTAGTCTCGCGATACTTTTTCAGTAGCCGACGTAAGACTCTCATCCGTTGTATCCATAAGTCCTAAACACAAAGCATGTGAATAACTGTACTAATTGAACAAACACGATAATAGATTACTTATGTTATATTCATCACTAAAATATATGTACCTTTTGTGGCGTTCGTGCATTTGCAGTACCTTTTCTTTTACCAAAACCACAGTGACGTCCTTTACGTCTGGCCTCTGTATTCTTACGGACACGTGCCCGCGAATGTACTGCCACAGGCTTCTTAATGATCAAACCATCTTTAATAAGCTTTCTGATATTCTGTCCTAAAGCCAAAAAATATAATCAAAAATAAATGAAGAGATTAGTGACACAATACAATTCTCTATCAACATTCGATTGATATTATTATGACATGAATTACTTTTATACAACCAAGTTAAAATTGGTGTAATATGTAGTCTATTTGTAGTCATCTGTAATCTATTTTGACACAAACCTCATATAACTTTAAATAGTTCTTGATGTAACCAATGATATTTCGTATTGCATAAACTTATTACACACAACTGTGATATGAAACATTCGCAGTTGCATCAAGAACTGTCAAATGAACTTTATACTGGTCTTATAGACTTAAATTATGGTACCTCAATGGATCTTACTGTACTGGTTTTAGGTTATTAAGGGAATGTAGTCAACATAAATTAGTAATATAAGAGACAATTGCAGAAAATCGCAAACTTACGGGAATTCGTGTTTGCAATTTCGTTGATCTCATTCGGATCCAACCATACTTTCTTTTTGCCACATCGCATAACAGAGGCTGCTAGCCTCTTCTGGAGCTTCAAAGAGCTGCAATAAAAAAAGCATGGTTATGTTGGGTAATGATTCCGTGATCATTTGCGTGTAATATATACATGTTCATCAAAATTAATAAAATATGTGTTTTGGTCATAAAGAAAAAATAGCACTGTTTTCGCTACACTATGTAATATCCATATTTTAATGAGAAACACATGTACTGCGATGCTCGATAACGAAGACACATAAACGGAAGTATTTTCTCGCGGAATCAAATTCACAAGGCGGATTTCAACATGATTTTTGTGATGAGTTATATATATCTGATTATCTATATGATATCTATATATATCTGATTGATAATATTTGGTAGAAAATCATAAATCTCCCATAATCTACGAACCTCATGGTGTCGCCTATGAACTTTCCGGTAGAAAAGAAAATTAAAATGGCAGACGAATGGTTTCTTCAGTTCAGTTTAGTTCGGTACATGGCTTTAGGTAGAAGGATGGACCTATATGCCACTCTCCACCTTAACTGCGTTAAGGGGAGGGAGGAGAATGGTTTCTTGATCAGCCCTCTCTGGCTGATATTAAGCAAAGAGAAGCCTGAGAGCGGCCATGGCTGCATTTACAGCGTTATCGAAAGGCTGATTCGAAGCGCCAACTGAGTCCATTTTTCATGGATATGAACTACTAAGCCAATCTCCACGATTTGTTGGTACTATTCCGTGCTATGTCCATAATTATTTGGTTCTGTTCTGTGCTATGTTCACGAGCGAGCTAGATTAGTTAGATAAAAACGAAGAATCGGTCTTTGTCTCACCACCAGCGAATAGACAATCGCGACGATAAACTGAAACAAGCCAGCAGCGATGTTATCATAAGGCAGATGTCGCCGTCCCCCCTTTCGCCCCCTTGTTTTCCTTTCCACATTGTTTTATATTCATAATTCGGGAAGAAAATAATTTCGAGAGTTAGGACGATTTCTAGCAATGACGCGACAGAGATAACGCGCGGCCACATTAATTTGTTATGACTTTTATATTACTTATAATTACGTAAACGCCCTTATATGCAAATTATAGATAATTATTGCGCGTATGTTTTAATATTGTACAATGGTATATAATAACAACAACTTCATTTCTTGCAGAAATTTTTTTAAGATCTTCGTTGAGGTCGTGAATTAATTTTTTTCTTCATCAATCAGTTTTCTGCAAAAATTAAGATTTTGTAAATAAAATATAAAATGTTTCTCTTCTCTTCTCTCCGAAGAGTTAATTAAAAAATGTGTACTCCACAGAGTCAACTAAAAAGTGTGTAGTCAGAAGAGTCAATTTAATAGCGTATTCCGAAGAGTCAATTTGAAAGCGTACTCTGAAAAATCAAATTAATATTGTAATCCGAAAAGTCAATTTATAATAGAATATTTACTTCGATGATTCAGCTGAAGAAAAAAAATATTTATTATTATATTCAGAAAATAATATTTAATTTATTATTTATACTTATCTTACTTATGCTTACCTTACATATGCTTCTTTGAATGAAAAATTTAATTTGTTGACTGATTCAGATTCAAATTTGTTAAAATATCTCTTATTCGCAACTCTTGAACCGGTAGGTAGTAAAATAATTTTCTTTCTTTACGAATTTCTTTACGAATTTTATAAACTTTTTACAAACATAAAAATTGAAAGATTCTCAGAGAACAAATAACTTCTCTTGAACATTTAAACCAAAGGAAAATTTTTCCTTTAATTAATAAAGAATGAATAATTAATATCTCATACAAGAAGAATCTTCATCCTTGAAATCACCGCGCGATTTTGCTTTTAGAAAAGTATAATATTGATGTAATAGTAACAAATGCTATCCAAAAACGGTGCAAATCTTAAACGTTTTTGAGAAATGCATTTTGAAGTATAGTTTTTTTTGTTAATGTCGTTATAGCAGAAGAATTACCAATTTGCTTCAGTAGCGCAATGGATCAGGCTTTGTGATATGAGCATAGAGGTTGTTCAAGTGTATTATTTTTACTATCACAGGGAGAACTATATATTGTGAATAGAATGTATAATAATACGCAGACAAATTCTTTACATAATCATACTTATTTTTTTTAGCATGAATAAAAATAATCAATGCTAACATGATAAGTGTATATCGTAATTGTACGTGTACACTCAGAGGCAGGTATGGTGTCCCTCGGCGATGTCGTATACGCCTGTAAAACAATCGAAAGTGATGACAGGCATACACGCATATGCATATGGGCGTACTGTACAGCGCGAGAGAAGCGAGGAGGGAGAAGTGGTGGGAGACGTTCCGATGTTGCATCCTTATCGCACGTCGCCCGATCGAGAGAGAAAACATTACCAGACGTGGTACGGTTAATGGTGTCTCCAATAGCTGTCTCACTCTCTCTACGTTTAAATGCAGGCAATATGAGTGAGACAGCTATAGAGCACCGCGCTGTCTCTATAGGTGTCTCGCTCGCTCTAATAGCCATATATCGTGCTTTCCTCTTTTCTCCTTATTCGATTATCCGATTAAGGAGGCATGTCCTGTCTGTAGGTCAGAAAAATAAGCTATTTTCGCGAATTCTTTTTCGGAAACTAAGCAGATGATTGATTTCAAACTTGATAGAAATAATAATATATATTTTATTGATAAGAATGAATTTTTATAGCGTTATATGAATAATAATGTAGCAAATATATAAAAAATAACGTGACGTGTTTAGGCGCGCGCCTAAACACGTCACGTTTCATGATTCCTATAAAATCTCGAAATACGGTAGACTGGGACAAAAACGCAAAATAATTAATCTACGAACTTGCCGCTAACTCGTTTCAATTAAGGAAATAAAAAACGAACTACTTTTTTAATATTTAAAGACATTTAAAAATTATATTTGAAAAATCATCATAAATATCGATGATTTTACGTTAATAATATTTTATTTGCAAGAAAACGATATTTCATGAAATTTACGAAAAAAACTTATTGTATGCTGTAAGATATGATCAAATTGTGCAATTTTTTTTTAGACACAACATATCTTTATTTTTGAAAAGACTACGAGAAGGAGGGAGAATAAATGCAACATCTTCCTTAAAATGCTATTTAAAATATAGGTTCCGCTCTTGAAAATATCAGGTGTAGTAAAAAGAAATCCATTATTTTTGCATGAAATTGAAGGCTTTAATTACCATAGTTAGAATGATCCGATTTAGATCAAATATGCGCCGTTTTGTTCGATAACTTGTTGCCATTTTGAAGGTAATTTCATTATGCCTCTCTCATAGAAGCCCTCGTCCCTATTGGCAAAAAATTGAGACAGTCGATTTTCACAAGCCTCTCTTGAAGCGAATTTTTCACCAGCAAAATTGTTCGCCATGGACAGGAATAGATGGTAATCACTTGGTGCCAGGTCCGGACTATAAGGTGGATGCATAAGAATCTCCCAACCAAGCTCCCGGAGCTTCTGGCGAGTCACTATCGATGTGTGTGGCCTGGCGTTGTCCTGATGGAACACAATTCCTCTCCTATTGGCCAAAGCTGGCCGCTTCTGGGCGATTGCTTCCTTCAGACGGTCCAATTGTTGACAGTACAGTTCCGAGTTAAGAGCTTTGCCGTAGGGGAGCAGCTCATAGTGGATAATTCTCTGCCAATCCCACCAAACACACAGCAAAACCTTCCTGGCCGTCAATCCTGGCTTGGCCATCGTTTCCGCCGGCTCACCGCGATTCGACCACGACTGTTTTCGCTTGACGTTGTCGTAAGTGATCCACTTTTCATCACCAGTGACCAACCGCTTCAGAAATGGGTCGATTTTGTTGCGATTCAGCAGCGATTCGCAGATGGAAATTCGGAAATGAGGTTTCTTTTCGTTAACTCGTGTGGCACCCATACATCGAGCTTCTTTTTGTACCCAGCCTTATTCAAATGGTTCCAAACGGTTTTTTGTACAATCTTTAGCTCTTGGGCAATCGAAACAGTGCTTACATGACGGTCGGATTCGACAATGTCCATGATTTTATCGATATTTTCGACAATTGGCCTTCCAGTACGTGGTGCATCTTTGACATCGAAATTACCGGAACTGAATCGACGAAACCAAAATTGCGCTTGATTGGCTGTTACAGTATCAGGACCATAAACACTATTCACATTTTCAGCCGCCTGGCTTGCGTTTTCGCCTTTATCGAAGAAAAACTGTAAAATATAGCGTATTTTCTCTTTGCTAGTGTTCATCTTTGACGCGCGCTCAAACAAAACTGAGTCAACTAATCACAAAACTGTCAGAAAAGTTTTTTTAGTATGAAATCTCATCTTTCTAACGCCATCTAGTGAAACCCGATCGGACTTATGCAACGCGAGATACAGATAACTAAAGCCATCTATTGGAAAAATAATGGATTTCTTTTTACTACACCTGATATAAAAAAAATTTGGAGACATTTAATAATAATAAAATTACAATAATAATAACGAGACGTTATATAGCCTCTTCTGAAATCAGAGAAAAAACTTTTTTTTATATAAAAAAGTCGATCGATTGACTTCAGCATCTAATTACATATTCGAAACATGTCTATCTATCGTATGAACTAGCGAAATAAAAGAATATTAATTTTTTATATGTACCGCGCTATCTCTATAGGTGTCTCACTCGCTGTAATAGCCATGTATCGCGCTTTTCTCTTTTATAACGCCATAAAAATTCATTCTCATTAATAAAATATATATTATTATTTTTATCAAGTTTGAAATCAATCGTCTGCTTAGTTTCCGAAAAAAAATTCGCGAAAATAGCTTATTTTTCTGACCTACAGACAGGATTGCCTCCTTAATCGGCATTTCTGCTAAGGAGAAAAGAGGAAAGCACGATATATGGCTATTAGAGCGAGCGAGACACCTATAGAGACAGCGCGGTGTCTCTATAGCTGTCTCACTCATATTGCCTGCATTTAAACGTAGAGAGAGTGAGACAGCTATTGGAGACACCATTAACCGTACCACGTCTGGTAATGTTTTCTCTCTCGATCGGGCGACGTGCGATAAGGATGCAACATCGGAACGTCTCCCACCACTTCTCCCTCCTCGCTTCTCTCGCGCTGTACAGTACGCCCATATGCATATGCGTGTATGCCTGTCATCGCTTTCGATTGTTTTACAGGCGTATACGACATCGCCGAGGGACACCATACCTGCCTCTGAGTGTACACATACACACACATATACACACGTATACCAATGATGTCAAAACCGAACAGTTCGTGAAAATTTTTTATTGATCGTAATTGTACGCAAAGACGAAAGAGAAGTACACGGGTCTTCACGGGTATCTCGTCATATTAATTGTCTATGAGCTGATAAACAGTTGATCTCCGGTATTTACAAGTTACGCTTGTCCGCAGCTTGTTCGGTTTTGACATCATTGGTATCAGTGATGCGAATTTGGTGACGGGCTTGTACGAGGACTCCCTCTCCTCCTTCCCCATACAATACATGTTGCACTTATGCTTGGCGCCTTTTTTTATCTTTTTGTTTAAAAAGGTAAGTTTTATAATAAATTTTACATGTAGAAACTTATGT